AATTATCTTTTGTTCACCTTGCAACAATTACTCCAGATCACAATTGCTGTTTTGTTAAATAGAATATGCTCATTTCCTGTGTGATGAGTTGAACTGCCTTCCCCAAAAAATATGTACTTGAATCCTAAAGTCTGTACCTGTTGATATAAGCTAATGTAATGTAATAACCTTACATTTAATGAATGTAAATTAATGAAATCTAATGTAATGTGATAATTCAGTTAGTTGAGGTCCTACCGGTGTACAGGGAATCCTAAACTTAATTAATGACTTCTGAGTTATATAAAGAGCAAGAGCAGCATAGAAACTGAAACATATACACACAGGAAGGCAGAAGTCATATGAGTATCATCTATAAGCCAATGTACTCCAAGGAACCAAAGAAAACCCAGGGCTACTGACAAGGTAGGAATCAATATTGTAGAAACCCTGATTTGGACTTTTAACATCCAAGGCTGTGAGAAAATAAATATATATTTTTCAAAACCACCCACTTGTGATATTCGTATTAAAGCATCACTAGGAAATTTCCAGATGAAGATAGACTGGGAAGAAGGATAGAACCATCTGCTTCTCAAAGAATTGGCCAGTGAAAACCTTATGAATGTCAGTGAAACACTGAAAAGCTGTGAAACACTGAGTGATGAAAGTTGATCCAGCAGAATGTGCAAATTATTGAACAATATCAGAAATATCACAAAAAAGTAAAATCTTGCTGAAGATTTTTCAAAAACTGTTGTAGCAGTATATTGACAGGGAATTTTCAGAAATTCAAGCGGGATTCAGAAAAGGAAGTGGGACAAGGGATATCATTGCTGATATCAGATGGATCTTAGCTGAAAACAAAGAATACCAGAAAGATGTCTACTTGTGTTTTAGGAGCTCTGGTAGCATAGTGGCTAAGTCAATTGCCTGCTAACCAGACGGCTGGCGGTTCAAACCCACCAGCCACTCCTCGGAAGGAAGGTTGGGCAATCCTACTTCCGTAGTGATACTGCCTCGGAAACCCAAGGAGGGGTCACTATGAGTCGGGGCCGACTCGACAGCACATAACAACATAACAACTTGTGTTTTATTGACTATGCAAAGGCATTCGATTATGTGAATCATAACAAATTATGGATAACACTGAGAAGAATAGGAATTCCAGAACACTTCATTGTACTCATGAGAAACCTGTACATAGACCAAGAGGCTGTTGTTCAAACCAAACAAGGAGATACTGCATGGTTTAAAATCAGAAAGGGTGTACATAAGGGTTGTATCCTCTCACCATACTTATTATAGCTCTATGCTGAGCAAATAATCTGAGAAACTGGACAATATGAAGAAGAATGTGGTATCAGGATTGGAAGAAGTATTAACAACCTGTGATATCCACGTGACACAACATTGCTTGCTGAAAGTGAAGAAACATTTACTGATAAAAATCAAAGACTACAGTGCTAAGTATGGATTACATCTCAACATAAAGAAAAGAAAATCCTCAAAACTGGATCTATAAGCAACATCATGATTAATGGAGAAAAGATTGAAATTGTCAGGGATTTCATTTTACTTGGATCCACAGTCAACATCCATGGAAGCAGCAGTCAGGAAATCAGATGTCATATTGCACTATCTGCTGTAAAAGACCTCTTTATATATATACATTTTATTTCTCAAACTCAAAGCTTTATTTAATCAAAATCTAACACATTTTGCATTGACAAGTGATTTCTTTAAAGATCTCTTTAAAGCACTGAAGAGCAAAGTTGTCTCTTTGAAAACTAAGGTGCGCCTAACCCAAGGTTTGGTATTTTCAATCACCTCTCATGCATGTAAAAGCTGGATGATGAATAAGGAAGACTGTCACTGTTTACCAGCTGGAACCTGAAAGATCGGAGCCACTGAAGAAAATTTACAAGAGAAAAGCGAGGCACAGGGGGACTAAGAGAATTCTTAGACCCCATTTATTGTCAGTACGGAGTTTATAAATCATATTGAGAACTATATTTGTCCAATACTAGAATCTTATCAAGGCTTACAAAGAACAAAGTTTCTAAGATGTCTATAATCTCTAACTGAATTCAGGTGCAGAATTCATAAACATTCTTTACTGGGAACTATGAGCTTTCTTGAAGGTCAGAATGAGTTTTGTCTAGAACTTCTTGACCTGGAGACTTGCTGGCATGCCCTTATTTCAGACAGCTGTATTCAGCATTCTTCCTGCAAGCACTTGCAGGCAGTACTGTAAACAAGGCACGCAGCTTTCTTTCCCAGGACGATTCCAACTACTCCTCACAGAAGACCAAAGAAGAATTGATTCCTTTGAATTGTGGTATTGGTTAAGAATACTAAAAATAACATGGACTGCCAGAAATCCAAACAAATCTGTCTTGGAAGTGCAGTCAGGATGTTCCTTGGAAGTGAGAATGGCCAGATTTCCTCCCACTACTTTGTTCATATTGTCAGAAGGGACCATCTCCTGGAGAAAGATATCATGCTTGGTAGAGTTGTTGTTGTTGTTGTTAAGTGTCATCGAGTCATTTCTGACTCATAGCGACCCTATGCACAGCAGAACGAAACACTGCCCTATCCAGCGCCAGCCCCACAATCCCTGCTATACTTGAGCCCATCATCTCAGCCACCGTGTCAATCCATCTTGGTAGAGTAGAGGGTCAGCAAAGAAGGGGAAGACCCTCAGTGACATGGATTGATATAGTGGTTACAATTATGGACTCAAGTATAGCAAGGATTGTGAGAATGGTGCAGGACTGGGCAGTGTTTCATTCTTCTGTACATAGGGTTGCTATGAGTCAGAGCTGACTCGATGGCATCTAACAACAACAACACAACATGTGTGGGATATTTTTCACATCATAATTCACTATGAATTCATCTTTTTTCATCTACCCAAAACATTAGATGAGGTAAGGAAAAACTATAGACTTTAGAATCTCTGCTGTTATTTCCCCAATTCTATATCCCATGGATACATGCTGAATCTCACTCTTGCTAGCTGAATATGTTATGGACCTAGGTCCCTAATTAGAAAAGTCTTTTCTGAGATTTCCAGGTGTAACCAAGAGTACATTTCTCCAGATATTTTAATCTCATTTTAAAAATTGTACTTGGTTCAGGGGAATACTCTGAAATAAAACCTTATCTGCCTCTTAGCACTCTCCTTCCTCCCAGGAGGCAGGAGCAGGGAACACATCTCACTGAAAGCTTTCCCACTGCAATTTAACCATATTTGCTTTTATTCTCTCTTCAAGTTGAGAAGAGCTCACTACTGTTTTCTATTTTATAATCCTCAGAGACTTGAGGATTGTTAGTAAGACCATTCCAAAGCTCTTTTTTTTTTTTTTTTTGATGCTTTACAAATTTATTCCTTTAAACTTTCATCATTTGTTTAGTCTTTCAACATTTCAATTACTCTCCCCTGACCACCCACAGAGTGATATATCTTTCCCATCTATAGAGTGTTATTCTCAAATAAGAATGTAGCCAATATAAAGGATTAGAGAATATGACTGCTTTTCTCCTTCCTTTCTGAGATGACAATAAGTGCACTAGACCTTCACTTCTCAAACTTCAAATGAGTAGTATGAAATGGGTTTAAGAGGACAGGCTTGGGAGCCTAGTGACTGGGTTTGATTCTCAGATTTGCCCTTACTAGCTCTGTGATCTTGACAAATTATTTAACCTCTCTGTGCCTCATAATCTTTACCTATAAATTGAGGATACTAATATCTTCATTGAATTATTCTAAGAATAAGTTAATATAAAGTATATGAAATGATACCTACCAATATTAACTGTTGTCTAAGTTTTAAAATCAACAGTAGATCGTGTATGTTATTATTTATACCAGAAGCTTATTTTGAATTATATGTATCATGTCTGTAGTAACTTAAAATGCCAGTCCATTTCATTGTAATTTTGATCTTAATCACGCTGGTATTCTCTAAGAGAAAATATGAATGTAAGGAATGCAGATATTGTTGTTGTTGTTAGGTGCCATTGAGTCAGCTTTGACTCTTAGTGACCCTATGACCCTATATACAACAGAATTAAACACTGCCCAGTCCTGCACCATCCTCACAATCCTTGCTCTGCTTGAGTTCATGATTGCAGCCACTGTGTCAATCCATCTCACTGAGGATGTTCCCTTTCTTCACTGACCCTCTACTTTACCAAGCATGATATAGTTCTCCAAGGAATGGTCCCTTCTGACAACATGACCAAAGTAGGTGAGATGAAATCTGACCATTCTCACTTCTAAGGTACATTTTGTCTGTATTTCCTCCACAATAAATTTGTTCATTCTTCTGGCAGTCCATGGTCTTTTCACTATTATTTGCCAACACCACAATCCAAAGGCATCAACTCTTTGTTCTTCTTTATTCATGGTCCACCTTTCACATGCATATAAGCCTATTGAAAATACCATGGCTTGGGTTAACCACTCCTTAGTCTTCAAAGTGACATATTAATTCTTATAATTCCTTTTTAAAGTATTGTCTCAAATTTTCCGAACTCTGATTGCCTTAGCTTTTTAAGTAGTTATTGTAATAAGGAAAAATGTTTTCTTGTGTTGAGCTGTAAATAGGAGGACCAACCATCTCAGAGATTTGCCTAGAACTGAGAGGTTTCCTGAAACATGGGGATTTCACTGCAAAAATCTTTGCAAACCTGAATGGCTGGCCTTTTAGTTGTCAAAGTCCTAGAAAATGTGGCGATAGAAGAGGAAAAGGAAGAAACTAGAAGATTTAGTAGGAATTTCATCAGATACCAAAAAAATTCTTAAGACAGCACCATAGTTCTTGATTTTAGACTCATGCAAACCCTGATGAGTCTCTCAAGAGTGAAATTGCACCAAACTAATTAATTCTAAATGTCAGGATTTTAGGCTTCAGTTTCTGCTATTATCATAATTTGGGGGATATATTTCTTCTTTTTCATTTATGTTGTTCTGCCTTTTTCACACGGTTTTGTACCTGTTATTTTTCTTTTAGGTCAACTCAAATCAAAACATATTCTTGGGATAATGCCCAAGTTATCCTGGTTGGGAACAAGTGTGACATGGAAGATGAGCGGGTCATCTCAACCGAAAGAGGCCAACATTTAGGAGAACAGCTTGGTAAGAAACAAATTAATGAGAAAGAGAACTTGGTACTTACTTGTTACACTGTGCAGAATCTCAGCTAATTGCCAGGGTTGGCTTAATAAAACCTTGTCAACCTGACAGTAGAAAGTAATATATCCTCCATAACGAATAAGTGCATTTTCCTCCTACTTTCTTGTGGAATCATTTGAATCTAAACACAATAACAGGAGCAAAACTGACATCCAGAATTTGGTTTGGTACAAGGTCTTCAAATTCTTATTCCATGAGACACAAAGTTTTGGATGGAATGGGCACTGTATGCTATCGTGTGTAATGTAAGAGTTCTTAAAGAAGCCTTGGTGGTGCAATGGTTAAGCATTCAACTGCTAACTGAAAGGTCACAGGTTCAAACCCACTAGCAAATCCATGGAAGAAAAGACCTGACAGTCTTCTCCCATAAAGGTTACAGCCTAAGAACCTGATGGGGCAGTTCTGCTCTGTTCTATAGAGTTGCTATGAGTCAAATTCAACTTGACAGCATACAACAACAGTTGTTATAAAAGTATCATTGAAAGTATGGCACACAGTTGGTCATATTCTAGATTTTGATTATAGGGACACCACTAACAAGATAATACTGCTAACTGTCTGTCTCTTCATCTCTCAGGAATAGTATCGTAACTCATGCACACTTCACCACGTCCTTATAGGTAGGATCCAGTGAGAGAATAGATATGAGAGAACTTTAGATTTAGCAAAGTAATTTTAAACACAAAACATTGCATATAAGGAGAAAAATGCTAGAGTGAATAGGATAGAGGTTCAGTACAAAGGAGGAGATCATGATTTATTTATTAATTCAAGACACTTTAGCTGAGCATGTATTATATGCTCTACATACATACTCTACAGTTTTGCCAGGCATTAGGGAGAGGGGATACAGAAAATATGATACCCATTCCCTCAAGGAGCTCTCAGTGGAGTGGGGTGACAAGATGTACACAGGAAAGCAGAATAGAAGACAAAGCAAGATGCAAAGAAAATGGAGATACCATTTACTCCTCCAGCAAATAACTTACTGAACAATGAATAAAAACAAGCACAGAGTGAGATCTCAGAACTCTCGATGGAAGCTTAGGTGTTGGAGAGTAGGAGTGAGTTCAGAAGTAGAGGACAGGAGGTATGGGGAGAGCATGGAATCTGGGAGAATCTATCCACTAACATCTACAGCACTTGCTCAAGCCATTTTGGAATGGGGCTGGGCAACATCCCAAACAGGGAACATAGGGAGCAAATCTGTAGAAGCTGTAGCCTGATTTTTTAAGGCAATGCTGATGGGCCGTGGGAGTCTGTGAGCCACACAATTGGGAAGGGATAAAGAGAGCACCTGAATCTCACCCAAGACAGACAGGCGCTAGGACCTGGAGGAACTGCAATGGCAGCAGGATGAGGGTAATACTTTAGATGGTTCCCTGCCCACAGAGAGACACATGGGAGAAACTGTTCAGGGGTACCTGCAAAGGAAAGATGGAGAGAGCTCCCCACCTTCACCATAGGAAAGTCAAGCCGTATTGCTTCCAGAGGTGTCTGCAAACAGGTAATTGGCCCGCATCGCTCATGCATATTTTATTACAGAGATCAAGCATCTAGAATTCCTGAATTCTGAAATAAAACTAAAGATGAGAGTGCCCACCAGTGGCTCAGAAGATACCAGACCCACTGACTTTTGGAGACCTGGTAGGGTGGAATGGAGCTGTGTCATGAGTTTTCAAGACTACAAGCCTTTTCAGAGACAGGCTGCTACATCTTCCTTCTGCAGAGTGGCTGGTGGGTGTGGGCCTCAGTCTTCAACTTGGCACACAGGCAGTTGGCCACTGCACCACGAGGGCAGCCAATCAGAAAACTTTTCCACACAAAATCCAGAGTAAATAATAATAATAATAACAATAACAATATGGCCTAAGCTCAAATAATAAAAAAAAAAAAAGGTAAAACATAAAATCACAAGAAAAGAAGGATGAATCAAAAGCAAAACATGATGAAGAAGAAACTTCTCCTATGGAAGCTAGCCTAAAAAAATGAATTGAAAATTTCAGAATCTGGTATTAAATATGCTTAAAGAAAGCAAAAAAAAAAAAAAAAAAAACACAGGAAATAAACTAGTTATCATCAGAAAATAGTTTCAGGTATAAAATGAGAAACTCAACAAGTAAATTGAAGACATCTAAAATAAGTAAATAAATAAAAGAGGGAGGGAGGAAAGGAGGGAGAGAGAGAGAGAGAGGCAAGAAAACATCTATACAAAGGAAAATATAAATAAAACCTAAGAGAGAGATCTCAAAAAAAAATGCAAATGCACAGGAAGTCATCAAGACAAAGTGTTTGATATTTTCAGGGAATAAACTCAATAATTAAATCCAGCAAACAATACAACATCAAGTTGGTAAGAAGTAAGTACAAAGTAAACTTATCAAATATAGGTTGTATATTGATGTTATTGGAGATGCACTAACAGAAATGGGGGAGGGAGGAGGATATCAAGAATAAATGTATTAAGTTATAGCTATATGTTAACTGTGCTCATATGTTAAACATTGTTGCAATTCTAAGTGATGAAATGTAATATGTATGATAACCACTAAGAACTCATCAACAACAAAAAAAAATATTCAGAAGAAAAAAAGGAAGTTAGTGAAAAGGCTCATCACAAGAAAGCAGCTAACTACAAACAAAAACAGAAAAATCAGAATAAAAAAGGCAAAAAATGATATGAAGTACTCAAAAAACAAGTAGCACAAAGAGTGTAGTAGACACTTCATTTTCATGTCTTTTTATTTTTCTGTCTTGGAAGAAGTACAGCAGGGATGCTCCTCAGAAACAAGAATTCCCAGCATTCATCTTTCATACTTTGGTCATGTTCTCAGAAGGGACCAATTGCTGGAGAAGGGTGTTGTGCTTGGTAAAGTAGAGGATCAGCAGAAAAGGGGAAGACCCTCAAAGAGATGGATTGACACTGTGGCTACAGCTATAGGCTCAAGCATAATGATGATTTTGAGAATGGTGTGAGACTGGGCAGTGTTTCATTCTGTTTCACATTGGGTCAGTAAGAATCAGAATGATTCAACAGCATCTCAAAACAATGACATGCTTAATTGTGCTCATGACGAATCTGTACATAGACCAGGAGGCTATTGCTCCAACAAACAAGGGGACAGTGCATGGTTTAAAATCAGGAAGGGAGTGTGTCAGGGTTGTATCCTTTCACCATACTTATTCAACCTGTAAAGTGAGCAGATAATCAGAGAAGCTGGACTATATGAAGAAGAACATAGCATCAGGATTGGAGGAAGAGTCATTAACAACCTGCAATACACAGATGACACAACCTTGCTTGCTGAAAAGCAAGGATGACTTGAAGCACTTACTGATGAAGATTAAAGACTTCAGTCTGTAGTATGGATTACATCTCAACATAAAGAAAATGAAAATCCTCACAGCTGGACCAATAAGCAGCATCACAATAAATGGAGAAAATATTGAAGTTGTTGAAGATTTCATATTACTTGGTTCCACAATTAACATCAATGGAAGCAGCAGTTAAGACATAACACAACATATTGCACTGGGCAAATCTGCTGCAAAAGACCTCTTTCAAATGCTGAAGAGCAAAGATGTCTCCTTGAAGACTAAGGTGTGCCTAACCCAAGCCGTGGTATTTTCAATCACCTCATATGAATGTGAAACCTGGACAATGAACAAAGAAGACTGAAGAGGAGTTGATGCTTTTGAGTTGTGGTGTTGGCAAAGAATACTGAAAGTACCATGGACTGCCAAGAGAACCAATAAATCTGTCCTGGAAGAAGTGCAGCCAGAATGCTCTTTGGAAGCAAGAATGGCCAGACTTCATCTGACCTATTTTAGTCATGTTGTCCGAAGGGACCATTCCCTGGAGAAGGATATCATGCTTGGTAAAATGGAGCATTAGTGAAAAAAGGGAAGGCCCTCAATGAGATGGATTGACACAGTGCCTGTAATGATGGGCTCATGTATAGCAAGGATTGTAAACCTGGCACAGGACTGGGCAGTATTTTGTTCTGTTGTGCATAGGGTTGCTATGAGTCAGAGCTGACTTGACAGCAGTTAACAACACAACAACAGAAATTCATTCTTTCCAAAAAAATTGAATAAAATGAACAAACCACTGGGTTGATTGACAAATGATAAAAAAAAAAAACAGAAGAGGGAAACAAACAAATTAATATTTGAAATTGATGACATTGCAACTGATCCAATAGAGAAAACAGACCATATCTGTTACTCTGAAAAGTTATACTCAAACAAATTGGAAAACTTTGATGAAATGAAAAATTCCTAGAAATCTTTCACCTACCTAAACTAACACAAATAGAGGTAGAAAATTTAAACAGACACATTATAAAAGAAGAGATTGAAGATATCATTAAAAAAAAAGAAAGAAAGAAAATGATGAACAAAAAAGACCAGGGCTCAAGTATAGCAAGGATTGTGAGGATGGCACGGGACTGGGAAGTGTCTTGTTCTGTTGTCCACAGGGTCACCATGAGTTGGAGCTGACTCAGTGGTACCTGACAACAACACTGGAGAATTCTACTAAACATTCACAGAAGAGTTGACACCAATTCTACTCAATCTCTCCAAAAACATAATACAGGAAGAAATAGCATTGAATATAAATCCAGCAAAATCACAAAAAATGAAAATTACAGACCAATATCCCTTATGACCAGTATCCCTTGAAGCACTTACTGATGAATCTCAAAGATCAAAAGATCAAAGACTTCAGCGTGGATTGCACCTCAACATAAAGAAAATAAAAATCTTCACAACTGGACTAGTAAGCAACAACATGATAAATAGAGAAAAGAATGAATTTGTCAGGGATTTCATTTTGCTGGGCTCCACAATCAACACCCATGTAAACAGTAGTCAAGAAATCAGGTATATCACACTGGGCAAATCTGCTAAAAAGACCATTTTGAAGTGCTACGGAGCAA